GACAACCAGGGTCCTTGTATTTCAATGGCATGGGTTTTGAAAAAATTTCACTGAGGTTGGCAGCTAAGAAGACTTTCTTGGGGACGTTGGTGGTTCTTTTCTTAGTGCATAAGTCATTCAAGAACTTTGCATAAGAAGGGATTTGTTCGATTGCATCTACGAGAGGGATGTTGATCTTGACCTGTTTAAACGTTTTTAGGATTTTCTCAACCTGCGAGGAGTTTTTCCTAGGTTTGAGTCTATCTGGAAAGGGGGCAATGGGCCTATACCTATCTAGATCAGGCTCAATCTCAAGTTCAGCATTTTGGTCATCGGAAGGAATTGCTTCATCGGAAGGAATTACTTCATCGGAAGGAGTGTGTTGGATAGGAGAAGGGGTTTAATCCGGTGGCATTCTAACTTGATTGTCTACTTGCTTTCCTGATCTCAGAGTGTGAATTGCATTCAGTTGAGCTGGATTGTTGGAACTGGATCCAGTGTCTTTAGGGTTTGCAACAAGTTGACTAGGGAATTTTCCTTTTTCTCTCTCACTCACGGCAGCGGCTAATTGCCCAAGTTGGGTTTCTAACCGGGCTATGGCTTGTGTGTTCGAGTTGAGAACTTGGCCTGTGGTTTGCGTGAATGAATTTAGAGTGATGGATGATTGGGTCAACATGTTGGTAGTTTGTGTAGAAGCTTTGATCATAGCTTCTAAACCCTTTTCTAAGACACTCAAACGTTTGTCATGATCGAAATTTGATTGATTTGTAGGATGGTGAGGATGAGGATGTTGGTTTGGAAAAGGTGGGTTAGCTTGTTGGAAATTGTTTGGGGCATTGAACGGGACAGTGTTTCCCCTAGGGAATTGTTGGTTCGACGCGGGAATGAAGTTTTGGTTTCCATGAGAATTCCCTTGGTTCCAAGCAAAGTTGGGATGATTTCTCTAACCTGGATTATAGGTTGGAGAAAATGGATCATTTCTAGGACGCTGGAATGCAGCGTTCATCTGTTCTAAAGCATGGTTGGGGTAGGAGACTGACAGTTATGACATCCCGGGGCAGAAATATGATTGATTTGAGCCGGAGCTCGTTCCTTAACTTCTAAGGCTTCTAACCTCCGCATAATCGTCGCCATCTTTGCTTCAGAAGCAATGTTTGACTCCAGGGAAAAACCATTAGACTTAGGTTGGGGAACAGATGAAACCCTGTCATCATAGTGTTCCCACTGCATTATTTTCTCGGATAAACTCTCTAGAAATTCCCAAGCTTCATCGGCGTTTTTTCTCATAAAATCTCCCTGACACATCTATTCTAAAGATTTTTTGAAGAATAGTCCAATCCTTCATATATGACTTGGCACAGTCGCCATTTTTCTAGACCGTGACGAGGACATTGGATTAAAAGATCTTTAAATCGGTCAAAGTATTTCCAGAATGGCTCCCCTAGGAAAATTTTGAAGTTCTGAATACTGTTCCTAAGCTTTACCGTTTTGTGAATAGGGAAATTTTTCTTAAGAAAAACGGTGACAAATTCCTCCCAAGTTGAGATGGAATTTGTCGGTAAGCTGTACAACCATTTTTTAGCTTTGTCCTTAAGAGCAAATGAAATAAATCTAAGCTTAATCGCATCTTCAGTTAATTCCCTCATTTTAATCATAATACATACTTCGTCAAATTCACAGATAAATATATATGCGTCTTCTGTTTCATTACCTAGAAATTTGGGAAGCATGTTTATGAAATGCGGTCTAAGCTCGAAATTTGCTCCATTTACTTCGGGGAGTCTTATGCAAGATGGAATTGCATTTCTGGTGGGGTAACACATATCCTGAAGAACTGGTTGATTTGCAATTTCTTGGATTGGTTCAACACGGATTAAGCGATGAAAATTATCCCGAACCCAAATTTGCATACACCAAAACAAATTTTTTTTTTAAAAAAAGAAAGAAAATTAGTTTTTTTAAAGGAAAGAAAGAAAGAAAATTAGTTTTTTATATATGAGAAGATAAAGAAAATGAAAAATCCTAACTAAAACAAATCAAGGCAATCACTTTTCAATCAACTCTAATTCTAGGGTTTAGCCTAACTCCACTAGACCAGCTCCTAACCAAAAATTCCTACAGTAAAAAAATCAAAGTTTTACCCAGGTAGTTAGCCAGGTAAGGATAGTACTAGAGGGTGATCAAAGATCAATTAAGTACCTCTTTCCTTGCGGAGCGCTTTACGCAACCCCTAAACCTTGCCTTAGACACCAACTATTCTGAGAAAACTTAAACCGTTCACTTAAGGATTTCTTGTTCCTTATTGAGCTCGAATCCTTAGGGGCCAACGTCTAATGAGTTTTAGAAGGCTTGGGTTTGTGAAGTGAGGAATTAGTGATTTGTGGGCTAAGGAAAGGGTGATGAAATCCCTTACCTTATCTTGATTGGGGTTTTGCCCTTAAGAATGTTTTAAGTGTGTGCCAAATCAAGTGCTACAATCACTTTGGTGAATTCCTACACTATATGAAATGCAACCCTAGAAATTAAAAGCGACTAAAAAGGATGATAAAAAGAAAATCTTTTTTTTAATTATGGTCAACAACAAGCAAATGTGAGAAGATGATTTTTATTATGGTCAACAAAAATAAAATCTCTTTTTTTTAAATCCTAATTGTCTCTAATTATGAAGCTAGCTAAAGAGGGTGGAATTAAAAACTAGAAAGAAGACTTACCCGAAAGCAATGCTCCAAATTCTTGATCTTCAATCCAAGATTTTCAAGCTCCAAGCGGTTCCTTCACAAGAAAAATACACAAGTCAAAGAATCAAATTAATAAAATCCTATTTTAGCACCCTTTCCCGGCAACGACGCCAACAACTTGATGCGGCATAATTATGTACCAAAATTACAAGTGCAAAATTTATCAAGTTATAGTATAAAAAATATCGATCCCACGAGGAAGGTGATTTTAAGAGATTATTAGAAATGATTCTTATGTTTTGTGCGTGACAATTAGGAATAAATAATAAGTGTGATTGTGATGAGTGATTGTTGTAAATATATGCAAAAAATAATAAATTGAATTTTAGAGGAGAGAAGAAATAATCAAAGAATAAATGAAATCACAAGGCAAGAAAGATGAATGAATAAAATCAAGAAATAAAACCACGAATGAAAAGAAAATTTAAGAAAGTCAAGATGGAGGATTCAAAAGAGGTAAGAAATCTAGAATATAATCCACTAACCAATTTTAATTATAAAATACAAACTATTCTCTTTTTATCATATTTTAACTTAGATTTATTAAGCATAGATTATCAAACCATTTAAGATAAGCATAACCTATCAAATTATCATCTAAGTCAAAATTACTATTCATGATAAGAACAACAACATGATAATAATCCTAGAATTCATAAGCATAACCTATCAAACCATTTAAGATAAGCATAGATTATCAAATTCTTCTTCTACCGATTAGTTCTCTAGTTGATTATCCTAAACATGAACATTTTAAGTGCAAGAGAATAATTCATCTAATATAAAGGAAATTAGATTAGTTTCATATAATTCTAAACTTCCTACAAGAATTAAATTCACATCTTTAAGAAATAAAAACAAGAAAAACAACTAATTACAAAAATAAAAAGAAAAGAAAAATCTAAACTATAAACATGAAATAAATCTAATTACAAAGAAAATAAAATCTAAACTACAAAATAAATTACAGAAATTAAATATAAGAAACATAAATCTACTCTACAAATTAAAGTGCAAAAAGAAATAAAAAAGATAAGAAAATAAATCTACACTACAAGCATGAATTTAAATCTAACTAATAAGCAATAATAAAGAAATTACTAAAAAGAAATAAAAGAGAAAAGAAATGCAAACCTTCAAATTGCTCTTCATCTTCATCCTTATCATTCAACAAAGAGGAGAAAGAACAAATTTAAAGAGGAGAAAATTTATTTTTATTAATTGCAACTAAAGTTACAATTTTTGGAAGGCCTTCTCAATTAAGAGTAACCCTCCTCTCCAAAAGGAGTTACAAAATTTTTCACACCCCTAACCCCTCACTCTCTACCCCTATTTATAGTAAACATTAGTGAATGAGAGCCATTGAATCGAAATCTTATCCAAAAACATCAATTTTTATCCTTTGATTCGTAACAAACTGCCTAGCGTATCGATACCAGCATCGACAGGGGTATCGATACCGGCATCGATACAGGCATCGATGCTGGCATCGATACAGGCATCGATGCGGGCATCGATACCGCCATCGATGCAGGCATCGATGTCTGCCCCTCTCCTTTTGCTGTCCGCCGAATTCTTCTTCCATTGGCTTTTGGGCTTGGATTTTGGGCTTTTGCTTGGACTTTTGGGCTTGGTATTTTCTCTTGAATTTCCATTGGGCTTTGATTTATTTCTTCATTAAATATTTGAAAGAATTCATTGGCTTCATGAGCTTCATTTCTTCATTAAATCAAGGGCTTTTTGTTGAGAGATTGAAGTTTGAGATTTATTCTTCATTAACCTGCAATTAAACATAAAAACAGTTATTAGTGATATATTTATTCATATAAAATAGATAATGAGGGTATAAAACTGTAATAAAATGTGATTATCACTCATCAATTTGAGGGTTTATTTTTGACAGCAGGTTGCAATTTGGGAAGGAATGGTTCATTTCTAATGGTCCTGTGGGAGTTGAATCTTTGTCTTTGAGAAATTTACAATTTTGTATTGTTGGTTGATTTACTCCAATTCTGAGCTGGATATGATTTTCTATGGAGTCTGGTGTTGTTGTCCTATTAAAAAGTTTAATTATTTTCCTCCTCTTAACTCTTAATTATGGATTTTTGTTGGTTGGATACTTGTTCTACATGTATTTCTAATTCCTTATTCTTCATTATTTTACCATGTCATCACTATTTCTTTCATTCAAAATGTTAAATTGTTGCAGTACTTTATGACCTCAAAAATTTTATGTGGACCTAGGATTGAGTCCTCATCCTGGAATTGTATATTCGTTCCCAAATCAATTCTTTTTGTTTCTATTTTTGGTTTTATTTCTTATATATCTCTGCCGAAATTAAGGTGTAAATCTCGGTTACACGTTATATCTTATGCAAAAATGCCTTAACTAAACTTTTGTGCGCCGACAGTACAGAATCACATAGTATAAGTATGTATTGTTGTTTTGTCCAATCAGTATTGATTGTGTGGTTTCAATGACATGTTTGAATGATGCTTCTTATACTTCACTTATTAGTTTAGTGGAGTTGTTGTGTTTGATAGTGTTTTTTTAATTGTACTATGTTGATAATATTCGATCTTTATTCCTCTCCCTTATTTCATGCTTTCAGGTTTCTTGAGGAAGAAAGTTGTGTAATCGTTGCGTTGGAAGGCTACAACCACAAGCTGCTAGAGTTAACAAAACTATGCTAGCAAAATGTTGGTATAGTTTTGGATTATATGCGCAATCTTGAAATTCATTCGGTAAGAGATGCATATTTTGCAATTTGTCTGTGATATAACCTAGCGGTTCAATCGGTAAGTGTGAACATAATTGTCTGTATTTATAAATGTCTGTGATATTGTTTATATTTGCTATGTTGATTTTCTTTATAATTGGGTCTTCATTTGTTGATTTTCTTTATAATTGGGCGAAACAAGAGAAACCCATGTTCTCATTACGAGCACGACCTCTAAAGTATGCTATGACCATCCTATGTTTAATACAAAATTGTGCTCCTTAATATTTGCTAGGTAGGTTATTAACATAGAGGTAATATATACATGAGTAGAGTAGCGGCCATCCATTTACATCATACTAATCTTGCACCATCATCTCCTTCTATTATGAAATGATTTTTTTCTTCCCTAAGTTTGGTTTCTCAATGTCTGCTAGAGGTGTGTATTAGAAGTACGGTTGCTATACATGTTAAGGTGTATTCATGTCCAGCAAAGGGGCCTCTTATGCAATTTTGTTTGTCTGCTCACTCGGGAGCCGACCTATGTCCCCAGTTTCTCCCTTTGTATATGCAGCAAAGCACTGGTTTCAGCTCATGCCTGCAGCTAAGCTGCATGTTTTGCGTAGCCTAGCAATGAGGAACAGATACTCGGGTATGTACAACTTGGTTTTTTTGTGTCCTTCTTGAGACGACATTGCTTTCGATCAACTTTCTTCAGCTTGGTATGTATAGATACAGCAATGTCGCCCCTCTTATGCAATTTTGTTTGTCAGCTCACTCGGGAGCCGACCCATGTCCTCAGTTTTTCTCTTTGTATATGCAGTGGAGCACTGGTTTTAGTTCATGCCTACAACTAAGTTGCATGTTTTTTGTAGCTTGGCAATGAGGAACATATACTCTCGGGTATGTACAACTTGGTTTTTTTGTGTCCTTCTTGAGGCGACATTACTTTCGATCAACTTTCTTTAGCTTGGTATGTATAGATACAACAATGTCGCCCCTCTTATGCAATTTTGTTTGTTAGCTCACTCAAGAGCTGACCCATGTCCTCAGTTTCCCCCTTTGTATATGCAGCGGAGCACTGGTTTCAGTTCATGCCTACAGCTAAGTTGTATGTTTTGCGTAGCCTGGCAATGAGGAATAGTCTTGGTTTTTTTTGTGTCCTTCTTGTGTCGACATTGCTTTCGATCAGTTTTCTTCAGCTTGATATGTACAGATACAACAATGTCACCCCTCTTATGCAATTTTGTTTGTTAGCTCACTCGGGAGCCGACCCATGTCCCCAGTTTCTCCCTTTGTATATGCAGCGGAGCACTGGTTTTAGTTCATGCCTGCAGCTAAGCTGCATGTTTTGCGTAGCCTGGCAATGAGGAGCAGATACTCACGGGTATGTACAACTTGGTTTTTTTGTGTCCTTCTTGAGGCGACATTGCTTTCAATCATTTTTCTTCACCATGATTTTAAAGAGTTGTTAGATATCTAGTTCAATAACAAGTTGTTGTTCAATTTTTAATTACTCAAGAAAAAGAATACATAAAAGAGCCATATATGATTTATGATTTGCAAATCGAGAAGTTCTAAATACGAAGAAATGCACAATTCACAAAAGCTGCACAAAATTTATTTTTCTCACGTGTATGTTTTTGGTTTAATGAATATGATATGATATATGTATACCCAAAACTTTTTATAGAATGTGTAGTCTTTCTCAAATAATTTTAAAATTTTTTGATGCTGCTTTATTCTTGTTATGTAGGAACTTGGATTTGATTATCTTGGAAGTAGAGAGCAACTTGTCATGAGGTTACAAACAAATTAGAATATTTAAATAGTTGTTCCCTTCTTTCTTTTCTTTCACATTTTCCTCTATTTCCACTGTGTTTCATTTTTTCCTTCATGGATTACAAACAAACTAGAATATTTATACAGGCCTTTGAGTGTTGACTTGGAAATAAAAATGAATGTAACTATTTTTAGTCCGTTAAGATGTGTATTTATTTTTTATTTGATATGATAAATTTTTTATTATTTTTCTTTAGATCATTGTGAGTTATTATGGATTTTCTGAAGTATAATTTGCTTAGTTTTGCAATGGGAGAAAATTCTTTGTTTATCATAATATGTAACTTGTTTGGAGTATAATTTGATGTTTGGTTTCTTTGTTAATGTGAATGAGAGTAATTTTTTTTGTGGATGTTCAGGTTCAGTGTAGGCTTGTAGTTGACAGAAAAGATATTACTTTTGACGATGCAATTAATTAATATAAGTATACTTTTTACCGATGCTAAATTACGTCGCTAAAGTTTTAACTTTTAGAGACGCATTAATTTGTGTCACTAAAAGTAACACTTTTGCCGACGCTATATTGCGTCGGCAAAAGTATAATTTTTAGTGACACAAAACTGTTTGTCACTAAAAATTATACATTTGGCGACGCAAAGTTAGCGTCGACATATGTGTAGATTTTAGCGATGAAGAGTTTTGCGTCGCTAAAAGCTATACTTTTATTGACGTATTGGCTTTTGTTGACGTTACATGGGTCGCCAAAAGTACAAGTTTTGTCAACACGCTTTTGTATATGAAAAAATTCTGCATACTTTTACCGACGTAAAATATTATGCATAGCTAAAAATATGCTTTTCACGATGCATGAAGCGTCACCAAAAGTGTTGTGACTTTTACCGACACAATGTAATTGCGTTGCCAAATATTTTCCTTGACACACTTTTGATGATGCATTTGCGACGCTGAATATTGCGTCGGGAAAGATTTTTTTGATGTTTTTTAAACTTTTGCCGACGTTTTTGTTTTGTCGGTAATGCTGTATTTTGTTGTAGTGTATATTGATATTATACATGTCATTAATGAGTATCATGTATATGAGGGAATTCTATCATATAAATGTGTGATTCAATCTCACTAAAGCATTGCTATGAGGAATACTCATAATCCTCATTACATATTATTTATTCTAATTTTAAAATTATTATAGAACGTTTGTCGCATATTCTCTCTTTTTTATATGACTAGTATGTAATACGTGTGTTCCACACGGTGCATTTTATGAAATTATATGAGATGAAACCCAACTAACATTGTACTCAGTAATTTTATAATTATTTATGAAACACAACATGGAGGAGATGCAAATGACATAGTAGTTGTATCAGCACCTTACGTAGCTAAAAGCAACTATTATCAACATGGCCTTCATTCCAACAAATCCTTTTACCTCTTTAAGGCACATTTTAAGCTCAAGATATTTGCAAATCACAATACATCATGTCGATACAAAAAATTACACACTTCATCTGATCAATCATATAATTAGTAGCAAAATAACTACACTAATCAATCTAAATACTTTTAGGCTAATGCTATATTCAATATCAGTTGACGACTTTATCTTTTCACTCTTTTATTGGATTTTTCGTAATTTCATTACTAGTAGAATGATGTACAATAAAACTCAAGCACATTTAGAATGATACATTAATAGAAATAAAAAATAGTGCAAGACTTCGTAACAACAATAAAAGTCAGGTTTTACATATGATGCTAATAACAATGTACATGGTTTTTTGCATGAAAAATCCTCATGAACACATTCTTCTTAATCTCCTGTACAACCATTGGTGCATGGGAACATGTCTGAACAAATAGTTGCAATTCCTTCCTTGCATGGGAACATTGTAAATGCAAGCAGCAAGCTGACAAGCAGAAAATATCCTTTTTTTAATTGCCTGATTAACCCCTAAATTGAAAACTCCCCAAGTTGAAACTTGTGAGCAAACATATGAAGCATAACCCAACCAAGCCATCACCGCTTTCCATAATTGAGCAGAAAAATCACATGTAAAGAGGAGATGGTCGACCCTCTTTGGCTGAGAATTACATATGATGCTGTGCAAATCAAACCCTATTTTCATCAAATGATCATGCTTGACTAGTTTTAATCTTTTTCGTAAGCCAAGCAATTAAATATTTAGGCATAATTAAAGAGCTCGTTTAGGAAGTACCAAGGGAGATGGCTAAGAGATATATGCATCACCATGTAAACTATAGATATTACCACCTTAGCCCCAACGACCAACTGTAGATATTTGAAATATATGAGTCAATTCCTCCACATTTCCGCACAAGAGAATCTCCAATTTTGGGAATCTCTTCCAATGCAAAAAGTCTCCTAGATTTTACTTGGACATGCTATATATTTCTCTGTCTTTTTTACACAATTGTCTTCATCCTATTGTTAAACAATTGTGCAACTATAACCTTTTCTAAGATTTCATTTTCTAGAGTGCTTCTCAATGACTTTTTTAACATTTTCTAGAGTGCTTCTCAATGACTTTTTTAATGTGAGGGGCAATGTGGAGCAAATAAAATGATTTCTGAAATGTATGATTAGAATTTTTTTAAGAAAGCTCTTAAAGCATCTAGTTCATAAGTACTTCTATAAAACATAAGTGGTTCAAGTAGTGTATAAAACAAATCTTGTTTTACATTTAATAAATAATATTATTGAATTATTACCATGACATGTTTTTTAACATTCATCAAACTGCTTCAAAAATTCAATATATAGATTAGCTAGAGGATTTACATAGTTCGGGTTTTTCATAGTTAGGGTTTTTGCAACATTATATAATGAAACTCAAACTATTCCATGAAAATCATGGATTAGTTTCTTAATCTGAATCCTTATCCAAGACTGCAATCTATCTCACTATACTCCTAAAAAAATGCACCGAGAGAATTTTTTAAAGCATAATTCTAGGTCATTGTTCAGTGACAAGTAGGTTATTCAGCTTAGTGACACAATAGCGAACGGAACCCTTGGAGTATCACTCAATATCAAATAGACCCACTATTATTTTATTTGTGCGATTAGATCCCCTTAGTGAATTCTTTTCTGACTCTTAAGGTCATTAAAAAGGATTGAGAAGTCGGACAAACCCTCCATAGTTCTATTGGTGACAATAAACCCCTAATTGCTATGACGCCCCTGGTTTCACACAAGGATGCAGTCCAATATGAACCTAGATATGTCAAACCTACCATACACCCACACTGTCCATAAACACGTTTCACCAATCACAACAATATCCTCTAGTGAAAACAAATAATACTGTAGGTACAAAACAGGCAAAGTAAGGAAATAGATATAACAGACATGACATAAAAGGAGATATCTCGTAAATAGAAATCATGTCTCAACTGTAATACATCAAGTATCTAGAATGAATAAATGTCTCATCATGAATCAATTGGAAATTGTACTAAGACACACTACCTTTATAATATGAAATAAAACTCTAAAGTCTGAATGAAATCATAAAAATTATACTATGAAGCTTCTATTAATAACTCATGTGACAGCGACTATACGAGAACTCTGTCATCCTGGGGCTCTCCGAATCTCTGTACAGCTTGAAAGAAGAGAAAACAATAAAAAACCACATAAAGAGCGTCAGAGCGCTACAGCAAGATCACCTCCATCCGCCCCCATGGAAAGGGTTACTAGATGGAGTGGAGGCTTTATCTATAAGCATAGTCTACCTAGATCATTTTTCCTGTATCTATGTGGAATTAATATTTAGAAACCTACAACACGAGATGTAGTATGTTGAGGGAAATAATCAAAAAAAAGAAACTCTCATGTATATACCATTGTTGTAAATTGTAGATATATAAATATTAATACCAAACTAAGAATAAACATGTTGAAGGAAATCAACAATTAGAAACCCACAACATGAGATGTCGAACGAAATAATCCAAACAAAAAAACCCTCATGTATATACCATACGTCTCAAATTGTAAGTCACTAATCATTGATCCCAACCTAAGAATAAAATAAAGCAATACATAAAGGAAATAAAAAACATCAGTATACCGTATTTATAATATCTTCCGCTATCACTGGGAAGATAAAATAAATACCTACATATAACCCTGTATACTTTCAAAAGCAAAGTATATTGGTCTTATAGTTCAAAGATGGACCGTATTCATATCTGGCATCCGCCCAACTCTTAGGCTATCAATCTATAAAGTGTACATGACTCATTAGTCTTATCGCGATCTCAGTACGTAGCCTGAGTGCGTGACTTACCATATAGGTATTCAAATAGATGGCTACACAATCCTCATAATTTTACGGCTCACAAGCCTCATCGCACACTCGTGCAGACGGACTGTTATACAAAGCATCCAAACCCGACTCAATGGTCTGTACATATGGAATATCATGCACTACCTCATGTAGTACTGAACTGAGTTCATCAAAGATATCCATCTCATGTGTAAACTATGTAAATCTAGTATATCGACGCACTATCCCATATAGTACTGAGCTGTGATCATCAACGATATCCCACGAGTGTATGAGCAATCTCTAACTATATTATAAACAAACCAATTCTTGTCAAAACCCCCTTTGGGATACTCATGTGTGTATAATGCCACCGTACTTGTGTATTCATGTAATTACATGTGAGAAAGTTCGGCTCGAACCCCGCAAACACATCTTAAACAAATACAAAACAAAACTTAGGAAATCAAGCATTAGTAGTCGACTAATATGTTGATCAATCTACTACTCTGAGTTCATCCTGAACCTAGAAAATCAAACTAAGTATGAGTAGTTGACTATTATGATCATTAGTCAACTACTCTACTATGAAACCGACTCTGCAAATCAAAACTGAGACTGTAGCCAACTACTATGCTATGACACTCCTGTTTTCACACATAGCTGTAGTCTAAGGTGAATCCAGAGATGTCAAACCTACCATACACCCACACTGTGTAATAACATGTTTCACCAATCACAGTAATATCCTTTAGTGGAATAAAAAAGAAGTGTACATACAAAACAGGCAAAATAAGGTAAATAAATACAATAGACAAGGTATAGAAGGATAAATCTTATAAATGAAAACATGTCTCAAATGAATAAAACTATAAACACCTAATCTTTGAAATAATGTAAAATATCTCGATATGAATCAACTAGAAATGTAACTAAGGCTCATAGCCTTTACAAAATGAAATACAACTCAAATAATTGAATGGAAACATAAATCTAATGTGGAGCCTCTACTGATAACTCATGCGACGACGACTATGCAAGAACTCCGTCATCCTGCGGCTCTCCGAAACTTTGAGCTGCCTGAAAAGAAATTTTGAAACAAAAGAATAACAATAAGAACGTCAAAGCGCTATAGCAAGATCACCTCCATCCGCTCCAAGGGGAAGGGATGCTAGATAAAGTGGAGGCTCTACCT